CACTCCATCCCAGATGCATACCCGCTGCCGAGGATAACACACATCTTGGAACGCCTACGCCATAGCAAATACATATCGACGCTCGATCTGAAGAGCGGATATTGGCAAATCCCTGTAGCCCAGTCTAGTCGCGAATGCACTGCCTTTACAGTCCCCGGGAGGGGCCTGTATCACTGGAAAGTGATGCCTCCACTCAGCACCAGCCACATTCCAGCGGGCGCTCGACAGCGTCATAGGCCCCGATATGGAGCCCAACGCGTTTGCGTACTTGGATGATATCATCATCATCGGACGCACTCTGGAAGAGCATGTACAGCATCTGCAGGAAGTATTCCGACGGCTACGAAAGGCGAACCTTCGCCTCAACGCAAAGAAGTGCAGCTTCTTTAAGCGCAGCCTGGTATACTTGGGACATATTATTAGCGAGGAGGGAATTCACACAGACCCCGAGAAGATCTCAGCAGTACGGCAACTGAGCCCACCGACCACGTGCAAGGAGCTTAGGAGATGTTTGGGTATCGCGTCTTGGTATCGGCGATTTGTACCAAACTTTGCTAGCGTCGTGCAGCCCATGTCTCTGCTGCTCAAGAAGGGCAAGAAGTGGCAATGGGAGAAGGAGCAGCAGGATGCGTTCGAAGACCTGAAGAGCAAACTGACGGAGGCGCCGGTTCTTGCCTGCCCGGATTTTAACGAGAAGTTCGTGTTACAAACGGATGCCAGCGACATCGGCCTTGGAGCAGTGCTAACACAGACAATCCAAGGAGAAGAACGAGTCATCGCATTCGCCAGCAGACGCCTCATCGCTGCAGAGGAGAACTATTCCGCCACGGAAAAGGAGTGTCTGGCTATCATATGGGCCATCAGGAAGCTCAGATGCTACTTGGAAGGATACCGATTTGAGGTGATAACCGATCATCTCGCTCTGAAGTGGCTCAACTCGATTGAGAATCCCACCGGCCGTGTAGCGCGCTGGGCGCTAGAGCTCCAGCAGTATCAGTTCGATGTCACCTATAGACGCGGGAGCCAAAACGTCGTCGCTGACGCACTTTCTCGACAGCCTTTGGAGGTACTGCAGATGATCCAGGAGGATAAGCCGGAGAGTACATGGTACCAGCGGATGGTGAAGCTTGTTCAGGACAGACCTGAGGATTACCCGGACTACGTGTACGAAAACCAGCAGCTGTATAGACACATCGGATCACGACCCGACGACGAAGACTCCGTGCCATGGAAACTGTGTGTGGCCAAGGAACACCGGCAGCGAGTACTGGCGGAATGCCATGACCAGCCCACGGCAGGACACCTCGGAATCAGGAAGACAACCGCCCGGATCGCCCAGAGATACTACTGGCCGGGCCTCTTTCGCGATATTTCCAGGTATGTTCGCAAGTGCGACACTTGCCAACGGTTCAAAGTAAGTCAAGCCAAGCCAGCGGGGAAAATGTTCACCAGGCAGGTTAGTGAGCCGTTCGATACTGTCTGCGCCGATTTTATTGGGCCTCTTCCGCGATCAAAAGGTGGGAATACAATGTTGCTCGTGTTTTTCGACGCTGATCCCTTTGAGAGTTGATCCCTTTGAGAAAAGCCACCTCAGCGCATCTAGAAAAATCCTTTAGGGAGAGGATTTTAAATCACTTCGGAGTTCCTCGCACTTTTGTCTGTGACAATGGGACACAGTTTACGAGTCGTTCGTTCAAATCCTTTTGTAAGCAGGCAGGGATGGAGATCCAGTACACCGCGCCATATACCCCGCAGCAGAACCCGACAGAGAGTGCCAATCGAACCATTAAAACAATGGTCGCCCAGTATATCGAGGACAAGACTTGGGACGAACTCCTGCCCGAATTGAACCTGGCGATAAATAGCAGCGTCTCAGACTCAACCGGATTTAGTCCGGCGTTCATCGTTCAAGGCCGAGAGCCACGACTCCCAGGAGCCCTGTACGATGAAGTGACTCCAGGGCTAAGCCAAGCGCCACATTCACCAGAAGCAAAGGCGGAACTGCTACGGGATATTTTCAAGGTGGTTCGCGAGAACACTCAACGGGCGTCGTTGGAACAGCGCAAGTATTATGATCTCAGACGACGTTCATGGAGGCCAACCATAGGATCACTGGTCTTTGTAAAGCAGCATCATTTGTCCAAGGCGGCGGATAACTTTGCCGCCAGGCTAGCTCCCAAGTATGAAGGCCCTTACAAAGTAATCAAATTCTTCTCTCCCACCATAGTGCGTTTGCAGCATCTTCACAGCCGGCAACGTCGAACAGCAGCCCTTGGAGATTTGAAGGAAGCAGTCAACGAACCAGAAACACAGAATCTGGTGCCCAGCCGACTAGACCACGCAGAAGACACACCGCCGACGGAAGAAGTTTAGCGATCGAGGAGCACTAAACCCGTGAGCAGAGGAGTCGCAACAGCCGCAGAGACCCAGCAGACAAGGATACCCGCGGACTGCGGAAGAAACACGCGACAGGAAAAACAACGCAGCAGCAGCCCCGGAAATCCGTATGAAGACGGCATAACAGCAAATAAACTTGCTCAAAAGAAGCCGACGAGTAGCGCTCGATCTGGCCGAGGCGAGAGCCACCTAGGAACACTGCTACAGGAGCCAACAATTGAGTCAGTGGGGCCACTTGCTGGAGGGTGCGCCTTCCCAACGTCCCACTTTCCCTAGTGGAAACTCAACGCTCCCAGTGCCATCGCAGCGAACCTTTTGCCCTAATTACTAACTTTCATTCAAACCTTAGTTAGTAATAGTCACAACCACGAGCTAATAAACCTTTGTTTTTCTCCCTCTACAGAAACAATGGCGTCGGACAATCCGAGCCGTTTGTGGCGCGCGGCAACATCCGCCGCGGCCACCGTGGAAGTCTCCCTCACGGATGACGTGGTGCTGGGGTATCCAGCCGAGGGAGAGCCGAGCCCCGAGAAGACCGGACCCCAGGCGGGAGTTCTACCCGGGGACATCGACTGGGAGGCCTTCAGCGAGGCGATGGAGCACGCCGACGAGATCCTAGCGCGCCGTAGACCGTTGCCCGATCTCCATCGAGCAGTCAGCCACGCCGGCGCAGCCGCGGCGGTGCCCAACCGGGTGCCAGTCGCACGTCGCCGGGTGGTGTTCGCGTCGGCCGTGGGGACCCCGAGGTCACCAACACCCGAGGAGTGCCGCCACGGTCGACCGAACGGGAGCAGCGACAGCAACGACGTAGTCGCCACAGGCCCTCGCAGCAAGGGCAGCGACGTGGGCGCAGCCGACGATGACGGCAGCCAGGAGGACGACGACGTGGTCCCCATCGGCGCGAGACACAGGCGGGCCAGCAGCATGTCGGACTTCGACGCGGCCGACGTTGCCCGACGCACCATTTTCACCGCGGGCGGGGTCATATGCGGCCTCAAACCGAAGTCGAAGCCCAAACGCAGCGCGAGCGAGCTGCCCCCGATCCCTGGATGGTGCAGTACGACGAGGACTGCCGCACCAAGGCCCGCCTCGCGCGAGCTGAGCAGGGCAACCGCCCTACACCGGTGCCGATCAAGGGTCCGCCTACCACCTCCGCAGCCGAGGAGAAGGAGGAGTACCCCACCGCCGATCAGGATTGGGTCCTGCCACCGCGACACTGGCGTATCCGGATCCCGGGAGGACGGATCCCACGCTCGGTGGTCGAGCGAGTCCAACCGCAGGAGGCCGCGAACAGGCGAGTGAATCGGAAGTTCCTATTCTACGCGGGCACCGTGGAATTCAGGGTCCACTTCAGCAAGGCGAACATGATCACCATCTCGCAGCGCACCCCGAAGTAAGGGGAGGATGTGAGGAGTCGTCTGACTCCCCACCAATACTGGCGGCGGCACCAACAACAGCCCTAACACCGGCCATCCGCGCCAGCAACGACGGCGACAACAACGGCCACAAGGCCGGCCAGAACAACAGCGACGTCATCAACAGCGACGTCATCAACAGCGAGGCCAGCGGCCTCAACACCGGCCCGAGCAGCGGCCACAACAACAGCTCGCTCTCGCAGCCAACAACAACGACAGCCGCCAACGCCAGCAACGGCGTCATTAACGCCGGCCACAACAAACAGCCAGAACAGCGGCCAACAGCAGCGGCAATAGCAACGGCCAGCGCGACCAGCGAAAAACAATAGCTCGCGCCCGTAGCCAGCAACAACAACCGCAGCTACGTCATCAACAGCGACAGCGGCAGCGCGCATCAGCAGCTCTCAAAGCCAACAACAACGGCGGTCAGGAGCCGGCAGCGACCACAACAGCAGCCGACGGCAATAACAACAGCCGCCAACGCTCATGGAGAGCTATAGCCAACGGCAATAACAACTGCCGCCAACGCTCATGGAGAGCCGCCGCAGCTAGCCGCGAAATCAAAACAAACCGGCAAAACGCCCACAAATTATTCCCACTTTGTAATATAAGTTTTGTAAATAATTTTCTATAATAAGTAATCACTTCTCACTTTGTAACCATAAGCTTCGTATATTAATCTTTGTATATATATAGTCATTCCCTATTTCTTATAAAATAAGCTTGTATATTTAATCAACCAAAACTTCGCAATACAGGTAGTTAATAGTTGTACAAAAATTAAGCATAGACAAGAGTTTGTAGTTATCTTTGGTTCCCCGTTCTCACATCTCTAGATCCCGCACACACACACACACACCTACACTCGGACAGTGTACCAGTGTTGGAAAACGCGCGTTGCTAAGCTTTCCCGCCCTATTATCTTTTTAAAAAATAACATTGGCGCGCATAAATAAATTGTTTGTTTACTTATCTTAATAAACAAAGTTATCTCCCCGAGGCCGTGCACGGCTGCGCAGTCGGCTGGCGGGAAAAGGTCACGGAGCCGACCAAAATCCGATCCCCCGCGCAAGCGGTGTCCCGAGCAAGGGACGTCGGGGACCGAGAAGGGGCGGTATAACCCCCGTCGCATAGCCAAGGGGAAATCCTTGGCCAGCGTGGGAGCCCTGCGCGGACGACAAGCCGGCCATGGAGAATGATGAAGATCCCTTTGCGTGCGGCTCGACTCTAGCGAGGACGCCCCGCCAAGAGAGGGAAGGGGATGAAGCAGAGGCCTTCAGGAGGAGCGGCAAGGTCTCCCGAACGCCCACAGCGCTGGAAGCCCTAGAAGATGGGCGGAGCCCTGGGCCAAGCTCAACGCCGCCCCCCAAGAGGACGCGGGATCCTGCGAGCCCGACCAGCTCGCAAAGAACTACGCCGGCCAAGAAGAGTAAGGCGTCAGAGGAGGCAGCCAGCCTGCAGGACCTCCAGGAGCTGGGAAAGCTGCTGCAGGAAGTCTCCACGAAGATGATGGACAAGACGACGCGCCACATCACCGTCTCCACGAGGGAGCTGTTTGCCAAAATGAAGGCGCTACATGCGAGCATTCTGGCGGCGAGCAGAGCGGCAGCCGCGGGTTCCAAAGAAAGGCAGGAGTGCGACGTCGGGACCAGTCTGTGCCCAAAATGCGCCCAGAGCACATGCAGCGCCGACAAGGAGCAGCAGACAAAGACCGTCGGGAAAAAGGAGGCTACAGCCCAAACAGAGCCCTGGCGTAGGCTTAGCCAGCCAAACTGGCCGGAACTACCCGCGCCTGTGCCTGCCCCTAAACCAGCCGGCGCAACCCAGCAGGGAAGCGAGAAGGGGCCCAGAAATCCCCGGAAAAAGACACAAGGAGCCCACTCAGAGTCCGCGGAGGCACACACCGCCACCCGGATCCTCGAGAACACCGCAAAGCCCACCGGTGAATGGAGGGTAGTCGCCAAGAAGCCGAGGGCAGCGCGCCGTGGACGACCCGATGCTGTCATCGTGCAAGCAAACGGCAAGTCTTACAGCGAGGTACTAGCTATGGTGACCAGGAGGGACGACAAGCAGTTGTCGGACCTGGGCGCCTGCGTCTCAAAGGTTCGGCGCACCAACAACGGCAACCTGCTCCTAGAGGTGGCTAAAGGGAGTGTTGAGAGCGCCGAGGAGATGAAGGAGAGCATCGAGAGGGTGCTCGGTGACTCCGCGACTGTGCGTGCGTCGACGGAGGACACGAAAGTGCTGGTTCTGGAGGTACGGAACATCGACTCTATCACCTCGAAGAAGGAGGTCTGCGCCGCTATTGCCGGCCAGTTCAACTTCGAGGCAGAACGGGTGAGAGTCCGGAGCATGCGCAGTGGCCGCTCAGAAACGCAGCTGGCGGTGGTCAGCCTGCCCGTCCCATTGGGCAAGGCAGTCCTTCAGCGCGGAGAGGTGCGGATCGGATGGTCAACCTGTAGGATCCGCGAAAGAACCGGCCCACCGAGGTGCTTCAGGTGCCTGGAAACCGGGCACATTGCGATCCACTGCAAGAACCCGGTGGATAGGAGTGCCTGTTGCTTCAAATGCGGAGAGATGGGACACAAGGCGGCCGATTGTTCCAAGGAGCCATCGTGTTTCCTGTGCAAGGCGGCTGGTAGCAAGGAGACGAGGCACCAGGCAGGCGGCACGGGCTGCCCAGCCTCAAACAGAGGGAAAGGGAACCGTACGCCTGCATGCAGTTGATCCAAATCAACTTGAATCACTGCAGAGCGGCGCAGGACCTGCTTCTGCAGACGGTGAGCGAGGTAGCGGCGGACGTCGCTATACTTAGCGAACCATACAAGGCGAGGGAGGGAGGAGCATGGGCGAAGGACCGCTCCGGCAAGGCGGCCCTTTGGCTCTGTGGCGGCGGACAGCGGCGGATGTCCAACATCCTTTCAGCCGATGGATTTGTGCGGGCGGATATCAGTGGCTTTTGCATTTACAGCTGCTACTTGGCCCCCAGTCTCCCGCTGGATGCATTCAGCAGGATCCTGGACAACCTATGCAGCGACATGCGTGGCAGGGCCAAGGTTGTAGTCGGAGGCGATTTCAACGCCTGGGCCCTCGAGTGGGGATCCGTCTCCACTAACGCCAGGGGACGCGCGGTGCTGGAGGCATTTGCCTCGACGGACGTGGTCCTCCTAAACGACGGGATGAGGCACACATTTGCCAGAGCAGGAGCCGCCTCAATAATCGACCTGACCTTTGTGAGCAGCGCAATTTCCCAGGACGCCAGCTGGGGGGTCAGCGACGCTTACACCGGGAGCGACCACGAGGCGATCCTATGCACCGTGGGTGCGCCGGAGGGGACCACCCGCACACGGCTGCGGCCCAGGAAAGCCTACCGGCCGGACACGCTGCGCACCCAGGCATTCGCCAACGCGCTGGACGGCATGTCAGCCGAGGCGCTGGGTGAAGCCAACGAGGCTGCAAACCAGATCGCAGCAGCCCTGGAGCACGCCTGCGACCAGAGCATGCGGCTGAGAGGGACATGTCGGAGGAATCAAAGGCCAACATTCTGGTGGAGCGAAGAGATAGCCGATCTCCGGGCAAAGTGCCTCCATGCTCGGAGGCAAATGACCCGGGCACGTGGCTCCTCTCGACTGGTCGAGTGCTGCGAAGCCTACAAGTCGGCCAGGAGGGCCCTAAAACTGGCCATAAGAGAAGCAAAGAGAGAGTGCTTTCTGCGGCTCTGCGACGAGGCGGAAAACGACCCCTGGGGCGGTGCCTACAGATTGGTGGTCAAGGGGCTAAAAGCAGGCAGCACGGCTCCTTCGGACCCGGAAGCCCTGGACTCCATAGTGCAGGCACTGTTCCCGAGGGGAGCCCCGGTGGTGATGACGCAGCCCAGTGCGGAGCGCCACCCCATCGTCGACTGTGAGGTCTCCGAGGACGAGGTGATCCGGACGGGAAGGAGCGTTCGCACCAAAAAGGCGCCTGGGCCGGACGCAGTACCCAACAGGGCCCTGAAGTTGGCTATCGCGCTTCACCCAAAGGAGTTCGCCACCCTATACGCCAGATGCCTCCAGGAGGGTACTTTTCCGGAGAGATGGAAGAGGCAAAAGCTCCTGCTGCTGGCTAAGCCAGGCAAACCGCCTGGGGAGCCATCCTCCTACAGGCCTATCTGCCTTACCGACACCACTGGCAAGGTGTTCGAGAAGGTGATAGCAGCAAGGCTGAATGCCGCCATCGAGAGGGCAGGGGGGTCTCTCTCCTAGCCAGTTTGGCTTTAGAAAGGGGAGATCAACGCTGGACGCGATCGAGATGGTGAAGCAGATAGCGGAAACGGCGATCACAGGAACAAGGTGGAAAGGCGGCTCCAAAAATTACTGCTTAGTAGTCACGCTGGACGTAAGGAACGCCTTCAACACTGCCGACTGGAACCGGACGCTGGAGTCCCTCGCTGCGCTGAACATCCCAGGGTACCTACTGGAGATAGCTAGGAGCTATTTCAGGCAGAGGGTGCTCATTGTAGACACGGATGTGGGTTCCAGAGTATACGAAGTCTCAGCCGGAGTCCCTCAGGGCTCCGTGTTGGGACCCCTGCTCTGGAATACCATGTACGATGGGGTTCTACGGCTCCCGATGCCCAGCGACACCACTACCGTAGGCTTCGCCGACGACGTAGCGGTGGTGGTAGTTGCGAAGGAGCGCACGGCTGCAGAGAGTAAGGCGAATGCTGCGATCAAGGCGATCGAATCGTGGCTCTCGAGCGCTGGTCTGGAGCTAGCGGCGCACAAGACGGAGGCGGTCCTCATTTCGAGCCGGAAAAAGGTGGAAACGGCCGAGATCCAGGTTGGCGGAGCCGTGATCGAGTCGCAGAGGGCTGTGAAGTACCTTGGAGTTCTCCTCGACACCAGGCTTTGCTTCAAGGAGCATCTCCAGTACGCCCAGAAGAAGGCCAGTGGGACAGCAGGAGCACTCGCGCGGATACTGCTAAATACACGAGGACCCAAGCAGAATGCCAGAAGGCTGCTGGTAAGCGTCGTCACCTCTCAACTGCTCTATGCGGCGCCGGTGTGGGCCGAGGCGGCGAAGAAGAAGTCCTTCATGCGGGGAGTCGAGTCAACTTATAGACTCTGTGCCATCCGAGTGGCGAGCGCCTTCCGTACGATTTCGGACGACGCGGTACTGGTGCTAGCCGGTCTAGTCCCACTGAAGGAGTTGGTCAGCGAGAAGTCGGACATTCGCGCTGCGCTGCACAGCCAACAAGGACCTGAAAGAGCCACGACTGCCGAGCTGAAAAGCGCGGCCAGGGCAAGGAGCTATGTGAGCTGGCAGGCCAGGTGGGATGCCTCGCCCAAGGGACGGTGGACGCATAGGCTCATCCCCAACATCGAGGCCTGGATGGAGCGGAAGCACGGGGAGGTAGACTTTTACCTAACCCAGGTGCTGAGCGGGCATGGCTGCTTCCGCAGCTACTTGAAAAGGTTCGGCCATGACACGGAGGATGGATGCCCGGAGTGCGGATCCGGGATAATCGAGGATGCGGGACACGTATTCTTCGAATGCCGCCGATTCGACGAGGAGAGGGACGAGCTGGAGGCGGTAGCGGGGTCAGCGATCAGGGTAGACACTCTGGTGCCGTTGATGCTGTCGAACCAAAGGACGTGGGATGCGGTGGCGGAATTCGCAGCTAAGCTGATGAAATCCCTCAGGTCGCTGGAGAGAGTACGAAACGAGCGGACTGGCTGAGCGGCCTTCTATTGTGCGAAGCATTGCTTTGCGGCCGTACCGCACAATGCGGGCCCTTGGCCCCGTCAATACCTAGTTTGTTTGTTGTATAGTATTTGTTACGTGTAGTTAATAAATAATAAACGTATATAAAAAAAAAAACACTCGGAGAGCAGAGAGAGTTATTCACCACGAACAAGTGGCCACGGAGTTAGCGCCGTATGAGAGCAACGGAGAGCGAGCATACGATCGAGCGCAAAGCAACCCCCGAAAATTGGCACGCGCCAACGGGAGAGAGCGAGAGGGAAGCTGATGCACCGAAATGCAAGAGCAATGGAAAATTACCAGCGCGGCCGAAAATTTGGCAAAGCCGCGTGGCTGGATTTACTTTTGCGGAGGCGACGAAAACGTATAGACGTGCGAGCGGGCGACGAAGTTTTCAACGAAACCAAAACGGGAGTGTTCACGCGACGGAGTTTTCTGCGGTCAACGAGTGTGGAAAAAATATACATTGACAGTGACAATTATATAACCCGAGACCAGCCAGGAGGTGGTGCTCGAAGTAGCAGTGATCAGTGCTCGTGACGGTAGCCGGTGGAGTGCGGAAAATTTGGGTGGCCAAGGAGGCACCTTCTTTTTGGAAGCGGACGGAGGCGAGGACGTGGCGGAAGCATCAGCCACAGGCGAACGTTGTGTGTGTGCGGAAAACGGAGACGGGTGAGTGCATAGGGAGAATCGCATTCTGGCCAGCGGGTACATGTGTAAATAGAAATTTCTCGACGGCCAAGATGCGGTTTTCACTAGAGTAGGCTAGGAAATAAACCCCAAAAACTTAACCTCAAATCCCTGCAAAGAAAACTTGTCCAACTAAATAATGAAAACTAGAATTTTATTTAAATACAAATGAAAACTAAAGAAATTTATTTAAATACAAACGAAAGTCAAAAATTTATTAAATAAAGATGGCAAAACTGAAACTAATCAAATAAAACTTGGACATATATATATGAAATAAAACTCCCCTCGCTGTCGCTATATCATTTTCCCTGACCTACGCCAAGCTTTTTGTCAAACGAGACATGCATAGAAAAAGGGGTGGAACCAAACTTTTGCTAAAACCTCACTAAAATTTACAAAATAAAATATTTCGCTCCTCGCCGTTTCTCCTCATAGTAAAATCAGTTGGGAATTTAATAAGGAAATATTTTATGACAAAGTCAAAGTACGGCGAAAAGGGTGGACCTTATCTTCGCGGAAAATGTATTCCGGCAAATTAAATTAAATATTTCTCCGGATATTTAGCGCTGTGTGATGGCCATGCGTTTACGATGAGAGACGTGTCAGGGATAGTTTTGCGGGGAGCGGCTGAGTTTTGCCTACACTGGGAGAAATGAAACTCCAAAATTTAATTATAAAAATTCAAGTAAATTTTTATTTAAATATATTTTTTTTGCTTTCTCGTGGAGAGCATAGCTCCTGACCACACTTCCGACAGGCCGTACGCTGCCCACACTGGGAAAATAAATGCAGAGAAATTTAAAAATGAGGAAAGATTAAATAAATTCAAGAAAAGCTCTCTTAAGTATAATTTTCGGCTCAAATCGAGTCCAGCTCGCGAGGGAACGACCCACAATCACGCTGGCCATGACTCACGTAGAATATTTTCCCAAAATGCCTAGATTTTAGGCCATAAACCCTGCCCTAGGAAGCGGTGGTCCCCATAATCGACCCCCCTCTCGGTCTCCTTATAGCGCCTGCTATGGGCTCGACCCAAAACGCGCTCCGCCGACTATTTCGCTCTATTGCAGAGACCGGACAAGTCATTTCTCTGGCTCCGTATCCCGGTAACTGACAACTACCATCTCATGTCAGTTTGCCGTCCGTCAAAACACTTTGTCCCACATCTTTATAAATTTTTCTGATAAAGAGGACCTTGGACGTGACTGAGACCTACCCCAGCCGTCGAACTTCCTTACAAGTCAAATAAGACTGACTTAAATTGTTGAAGATAAATATTTTCTCTAAGTAATGCATCTTCGTTCTCTAACCCATACTTGCGTTTGTGCATATACCTATGAACGCGAGTCAGTCGCAAATAAACTCTCAAGCTAAGCAGATCACTTCGTGCCTATTCTCTTCTTGTGCGGGTAACGGTTTTCCCCCTCAATAGGCTATGGGCCCAGACTCCGCCTAAAACCATTGTGCGTCTCCAAGAAATAATTGCGCGGATATGTAAAAGACTTAAATGTAGCTTGAGTGTTCGGCTCGTTTGTTTTTCTAACTCCGGAGACCGATAGCAGCGATATGAGCGGGATGTACCAAATCGAGAAGCTCGATGAAAGAAATTACGATTCGTGGTGTGTCCAAATGCGTAGCGTTTTGGTGCGCGCAGAGCTGTGGAAAGTCGCATCAGGGGAGCTAAAACAAGAGGCAGTTCCAGAAGGAGTGGACTGAACAGGATTGAACCAGAAGGCCTTGGCAACGATCATCCTAAGCATAAAACCCTCACATTTGGGATATGTCAAGCACTGTGGACACGCGTTTGAAGCGTGGACGAAACTTAAAGAAGTTCACCAACCCGGCGGACCGGTACGCAAAGTTTCGCTTTACAAAAGATTATTGAGCCTTAGGATGGCGGACGGCCAGAGCATGACCAGTTATATCAATATGTTTGTCGAAATTTTGGATCAGCTTGCAAGTGTTGGAATCGATTTAAATGAAGAGCTAAGAGCAATCATTCTACTCTCCAGCCGTCCAAAAGATTACGAAAGCTTTGTTGTTGCTATTGAAACGCGTGACAATTTACCGGCATTCGAGAATCTGTGCATAAAGTTGAAGGAAGAAGGAGAAAGGAGTGACGGCGAGAACACGACGAGCGAGCAAGCGTTGGTTGCTAGGCAACGGCCGAGAAAAGGCAAAGGAACGGTAACGTGCTACAGATGTTGTTGAATTCGGCCACATACAGAAAAACTGTCGAAGTAACGGACGGACAGTCGAGAGCAAAGAGCGAGCAAAAACTGTGAACTGTTCTCTCTTAGGCGCGCTGAACAGTGTTTCTCTTGATCAAGGGACTTGGTGTCTCGACAGCGGCGCGACCAGCCACATGTGCTGCAACAAAAACAAATTTGCGAAATTTGAAGACCACACCGAAATGATCGGACCCGCAGACGACGCACAGTAGCGGCTTTTCTCATTTTACGTTGCAAAAATCATAACTTTTGAACAAAATAAGATAACTAAATAATTTAAACGCCATTTTATAGGTAATTGTTGTAAAATTTACATATGTATTGGAAAATCTGCCACGCCCACTCATTCGCCTTTTTAAAGGGTATCAAAGTAAAGAAATATTTTTTCTCAATGAAGACAATTTTTTAAACATATTTTTTATTTAATTTATTATCTTTATTTTATTTATTTATTTAATGCTAATTATTAGTTATAAACTAATAGTTAGCAAAAGATTAATGAGCAATGGCTACCAAGGCGGAAGGCCTTGGCTCTATAGTGTATTAACAAAGAAATGTGTGTGGAATATGTTATA